AGGAAGAGGAATCAGAGATAGAGCTCAGAGTTAGGGATTTTTTTTGTATTTGTTTTCACTCAGGGTGCCCTGAATTAAAAAGTAATGAGACGTACTGTACTAATCCTTATTTTACACACTAGTGTTAAGAATAACAGTGCTGTTTCACATACATCACAGCTTCTAGAGATAAAGACGTGTGGGTATGACATACCTCATTTTTGGGATTATTTAACCCTTCGTAGCCTAGAACATATAATAGCTCTGTAAGAAAGGACTGTCCAGTGTCACAAGCAGACTAGAAAGCAGAGTGAGGTCAAAGGATTCTGGGAGCACCATGATAAAATATAACCCATTCAGAGCCTGGTTATGTGCTTTCGTTTCACTTTAAGCAGGTGTGCTGGCAGATGGACTTCCAACATGTAGATAGATGTATTTATTTGCTCATCAGAACTTTCTAAACTAAAATGTCATTTAAAAAAAAATAACACCACCCAAACAAAATTAAAACCAACTTGCATATGAAAATACAGGGAAGAAATGCTTTTAAAAATGTTAGATTTAAGAGACTTAAAGCAAACCTTAGGATTGCCTCTATGCAGATACTTAAAAGCCACTTAAAACTGTTTCCAAGGCCTACATTTAACGCCCCCCGCCCCAAAGCTAATGGATTGTTTCTGATTTTTAAAGAAATGCCTGGTGTATATGTATTTGGAGAAGTGTCTTCCCAGCCTTGTAAACTTTGGTTGTCTACACAGCCTGCAGCACTGCTGACTTTCCTAAAGCACACAACCACATCCTGGGCTACTGTTTTCAAAACTAACAAGTAGTTCTGGTCTGGACCCTGGACAACGAAGGGTTAATGGATTCATACTATACCTTGCTGAACATGTTTAACCTGCTGATCATTTGGAAAGTAGTACTGGTGCTTTTCAAAATTCCGATTTTGGTCCATCAGATCAGTCTTTGGCTGACTTCCCTTTTTGTAAGAATACTGTATAACCTGGCATTCAGCAGTGTTAAAGCTGTCAGTCTACACCTCAGCATTTGGAGCTCTAATGATTTTTATTTTTTGTAAAATTAGAAATACTTAAACGACCTTACAGCAATATGCATGCACTGTCCTTTTTTTTAAAAAGTAGGATATCTTGTTATTTTATTTTTTTAAAAAAGTCCCTAATAATGATTAAAAAAAAAAAAAGAAAAGAAAATTTCCACGACTACTCTATGCTACAGCTAAACTTGATGAAATGGCTCTAGCATATTTAAAAAGAGTTTGCTCAAAAAAAAAAAAAAAAAAAGCATGCCTAGGGAGTCATTGTGACAGTGCAAAATACATTTATGTACATCCCTCTTACAAAAACACCAATATGTTAGCATTCCGTGAAGCATGCTGGTTTTCAGGAAAAAAAATCCTATAAGAGAGTGAAATAGCAGCTCCGAAAGATAGCTTTTTTTCTTTTCTTTTCTTGAGGACAACCAAAAAGAGTCTTTTTTTCCTTTTTTTTTTTTTTTTTAACTACTAGAGAAATATCACTAATACATACAGATATAAAAGCAGCATAGAAAGATACAGGTTTCTCACCAACTAGGAATAAAGAGACTAAATGTGGGCATATGGTTAAACTACAATGCATCTTCACATTTGTCCAACACATTTACAAGAAAAACACCATTGGGAAACCTCACAGGACAGAAGTGTTTTAACACCAAGAGAACTACTAGTTTTTAATTAAAAATCCAAACAGGGTGGGGTTGAAAAATTTTGGAAAGGGGCTGGAGCTGAAGCCACCATTTTTAAAATTACTTTTTTTCAATATAAAATGAATGAGTTGGAATAGACCCAATGTCTTACTCTGTGGAACCTTGCAAAAGTGAAGAAACGATGAAGGGTTATTTAGGGCAGCTGGCCGATGTCAAAACTGCCAGAATGCTAATTAACTGCAGGCTGAGTCTCTTACTTGTGTGTGTGTATGTGTGTGTGTGTGTATACATATATATATGTGTGTGTTTGTGTGTGTGTGTATATATATATATATATGGAGCCTTTTGTATTATGGCATTTTTTTTCTTGCTGCTGTATTCATACATCCCACTGCAAATCATCTTTCATTTTTCATTCTGTTGACCTGGATATTATTTCTTTTCAGAAACAGGAAAAAAACCGAACATCTGTGTCTCCTTCCAATCTGCTGCACATCTGCGCGTTTTGTAGCGGGTCTTCAAAGTTCAGTTAGCAACCCACGGACGCCATTCATCTTCTTGTTAAAATGTCTACCGCTGTATCCAATGCTCATGCCCTTGAGGGTTTTCCTCTTTTTTTTTTTCCATTATTGTATATAAAGAACATTGTGACTTTTAATATTAGCATTTTTGCTTTCAACAGCAATTAGCAATCTCTTGGTTTGCTGTTTGGTAAAGCATCGGTTAATGAGGTCATCTAGTTTAAAATCCCAGCTACTTGAAAATAACAGGGAGGAGGTCAAATCTATCATTTCATGTTATATTCTCTGCTCTCTTTTCAGTTCTCTAAAGAAAAGATATCTTTGTTATCCACAATAAGTCATTACGACCCGTTACTGGCCCTCTGTGTTTTACTACCACCTCAAGATACAGTTAGGTTCTCTCTTGCTGAAGTACTGAAATAGGATAATTCATCTAATAAACAAACAAACAAAAAAAACAACTTTGAGCATCTGAGGATGAGGAATTGGTTTTGCGTTGGTTGTCTTTCCTCCGACAGTTCTGAGTTCACGTCTAGCGAGGGGTTGTCTCTATGGTGGAAGGGGTTCCCGGGGTGGTTGACCTCGGAGTGGCTGCTGGTGGTGTGTCCATCGGGCTCCCAGCCCCGCTGTTGGGCGTGACGGAGGAGCTGACTGCAGGTGTGTCTCCCTGCTGCTGGGCCTGCAGGGTCTGTCCACAGATGTGATGGTGCTTCTCCCAGTCTTTGTGCTGGCAAAATGAGCCACAGTATCGGGCTGTGTTACAGCCACTGCAGGTTTCACTCGCTTTACGGCCACAATTCCAGCAACTCTAAAGGAGAAGGCAGAAGACAGCAAGATCCCAAATTAATACACTGTTATGACAATAGTCTGACAAATTTGTTAGGCATCACTGTAGCCTTCTTTTCATGAACTATACAGTCAGGATGAAAAATCAAGGTGTTTACATATGGATACACACAATAAACACAGAAAATGCAGGTTTTGATGGGATGGTTGTCCAAACTGTTCTGCCAACAACTACTATGGCATCTAACAAAGTAGTTGAAGACTTTTTAAGTTCTTACTATAACATCCTTTCTTTTTAGGTTTGGTGATCTTTATATGTACATTCTCCTTTCACTCATGCTGACTAGCAATTACTATTTCCAATTTTTTTCCCAATACCTATACCACAATTGTCAGACACACAGATATATCTGAGCAGAAGCTTCTTCCTTTTGGATACTAAAAGGAATCACAAAGAAACTACCAGAACCATATCTATATTGGATTCAAAGAAATATAGTAAGAGTAGATAAAGGATTCTATTCCCTGCTCCTTCAGACTAGACAGGGTGAGGCAAGTCCTTTAACCTCTCTATGCCTTTAGTTCTTTCACTGCAGCTATTCAGTGAACCTTACAACCCAATGCTAGGACTGTGTTGAAACAACCCCCTTTACCTCAGCTCCCTGGAGGACAGGATCCTTGGTTTGTTTTTTCTCCCTGTATCTGAAGCACCCAGAATGGTGCCTGATAGATAGTAAGTGTTCAATAAGTATTTGTGAAATGAATGAATTAGACTATGCCTCATTTGGCTTTCAGAAATGAGAAATGCTAAAACTAGCCAAATAACAATTCTATTTGCACACAGTTCTTTACAGCCAATGGAGCTGCTCTCCTGCTCCTTTGTGCCTCAACAACTCTTGGAAGTCAGAAAAGCAGAGGGAACTGGGGCTCATCTGGGAGTGATGAGAACAAAACTCAAACCCTAGCAAGTTCGCTGCCAGTTGTGGGCAGTGTTTTGTAAGACATGAGAAAAGTGGGAATGAGGCTGCCAACAGGATTTAAACTTTAAGATAAATGCATCATGAATTAGAGCACAAACATACCAGAGACAGAAGAGCACCTTTTGGGGATAGGTCCTAGGCAGGCAAGGAGGAATGAGGAGGAAACTAACTTTCCGGGGTCCTCCTATGAGTGTGGTGGGGAGGGAGACCTCAGAAAGCTGACTTTAAATGTTTAAATGTTCCTAGTTTCTTTGGCAAGACAAACCCCATTATGCAAACTATAGTAAGTGATCTTAGCTTTATGCCTTTCAACTTTTTATTCTTTATCTTCATTGGTTTTGATTATGTCCTTGAAAAACAAACTTCTGACTACAATCTGGTAACCCCAAACAGCTGATGCTATATGCTTGTGTGATAAGAAAGATTTTTAAAGCCTTGACATAAGTAGATATTCACAGGTTTCCCTACTGTGTTCTCTACATTTGCTTTGCTTCTAGCATGCTGGTTGTGTGGCTTAAGGCAAGCTCATGAGCTGCTGACAATACTATACTCCTAGGAAATGTCAGCCCATCACCCTGTGTATGGCTTTACCACTGTGCAAAATGTGCAAGGGAATTTTTAGCAGCCATCCTAACATTGTTAACAAATCAACTGGCTCCCAGAGCCTTTCACGTGCTGAAAACCTTCAAACTCAAGAACTCCAATATAAAACTTTTAGAAAGAACCCAGCTCCATGTTCTTATTTCTTTTTTTTTTTTTTTTTTTTTTTTTTTTGAGACGGAGTCTCGCTCTGTCACCCAGGCTGGAGTGCAGTGGCTGGATCTCAGCTCACTGCAAGCTCTGCCTCCCAAGTTTACGCCATTCTCCTGCCTCAGCCTCCCAAGTAGCTGGGACTACAGGCGCCCGCCACCTCGCCCAGCTAGTTTTTTTGTGTTTTTTAGTAGAGACGGGGTTTCACCGTGTTAGCCGGGATGGTCTCGATCTCCTGACCTCGTGATCCGCCCGTCTTGGCCTCCCAAAGTGCTGGGATTACTATGTTGAGCAGAAAAGCTCAAACAAAAAAACAGAAATAAAAAAGAAAAGAAATTACAATCCAACAAGGAAAAACAAAACAAAAACTTAAAATCTCAAACTCTGGCCAATGATAGGTGTTTTAAGTGAACATTGCTGAGGAAATCTAGAAACTTGGTTGATATGTCAAAAAATGTTGTAAATTAAAATAAAATTTAAGTGAATAGTCAGTAGTAGAAGAAAATAATTTTTTCCTACTTCAATTAAGAAACTATCTCAAAAGATGAGAAGCTCTGATCAGAAGTTTCATTACCATAACTAGAAGTCTTTCTCTCTCAAAATTAATTCAACTGCATTGCATGCATGTACAATGGTTCCACAAAGATGTGAGCAAATGTGGGCCTGGCCCACCCTTCAAAGCCGCGAGGTATAATACTCAGTGCTCAGAGTGAAGTTAACTTCCTTGAGGTTTAGGCTTTAGAATAATGCCAGCTGGATCCTGGAACAAGCTCAGCAAATAAGCGATATTCCTAAATTACATCAGAATATTCCAATTAGAGAACAGAGACTCACATCCAAAACAATATTTTAAGGAAATTAAACATCTAATCTGAGTCAAGTGGCTTCTTTAGGAAATACCCTGGTGTGAGTCCTATCCGTTTTTTGGCAGAGGCCCGTTTTGGCAGACACAGGGTGGTAACTGTCCAATACTCAATGGCTCCTTCTGATTGAAATCAGATGTCTGCAACATTCTCAATTTAAACTGATTAAACACACAGACTAAACCAGGTAATTACAGATGCATGTGCTGGGAAGTGGAAAGGGAGACAGAATGGGGGCTTCTTTATTTTTTAAAGTGTTTTCAAAGATGGGAACAATTTTACAAATAAAAAAGTGGAATTGTGCCAAATACAGAAACAGATGTTTTGGATCATGAAGCTGCTGGGAATTGAGCCTTCTTGCCTAGTATTGTCTGGTTCTGATCCAGGAGTTAAGGGGTCTGGCTAGTTTTACCTCTAGTTTCATTCTGAAGTTGTTTGATACTATTCATTTACCACCCACCACTGGGCCAAAAAAAAAAAACAAAAAAAACCAAAAAAAACCAACAACCTTCAGTTGTAGGAAGTTACAAAAAGAGCAATTTTAATGATCTAGTTAAAAAAAATCTGCAAATTTTTATTTCTCTTGACACTGCATTGCCGTGAATGTACAGGGGACTTTAGTGAGTGTTCAACTAAAAAACGCTCCAATGTGCATATTCATTCTTAAAAGCTCATTAGAAAACTGAAAGAGCAATTTCTATTAATATATTTCTCTTGGATGCTCTAGAATTTCCTGTTGGCTAATCCATACCTGCGAGACTGATGCCTGATCAGTGGTACTCAGCCCCTGAACAGTCACAATTCTGGAAACAGCGGAAGGTACAGAATCTTGTGAGTACTCCAATTTGGATCATTCTAAGCTTTCTACTGTTCACAAAGGTGGACATTGCAAATTGTGTCTAACAGCCACACGTCTATCCACAAGGGCTGGGATAAAGGCAGTTAATGGCTTAATCTAATTTTACATTTTTCAATTTGTGCATTTTATATTCAAGATAGTATTTCCTGATAATTGTTATATTTATTTATTTTATTTTTAAATGACTGAGCTTCCCTTTCAGGTCTCTAAGGAGTGATGTGACTGAAATTACCACAATACTGTAGAAAGCTCACAGATATCCATTTCATAGCAAATTTCATTCCCAAAGCTCATGGCACTTTATAGTCTTCCCTTATTTGTGATAATGTTATTCCCTTTGTGGCATAAAAATATCTTCCTCCCTACCTGAAAAATAAGAATAAGTCAATTGACCAAAGTTAGGTTGTGACTCAGATGAAGAATTTGTGGCTGAACACGAACATCCCCTTTGCTAAATATATTAAATACAAGGCTAGATACAGAACCAATGGATTGAAGCTTTTGAATGCCAACACTGCATATTGAAGGTGTTTGACACTTTGTTTCAAACCAGCATTTCTCTTTGTCCTTAAGAAAAATATTTAGAGAATGATCTTTTTCTTGTATAAGCATATATCCCTTCTGGTTCTTACTGCAGAAAAATCTTTCTCTGAAGGACAAAATATCTTTTATTTTGTCTCTGAACTGCTTTAAGTCTCTCCAGATCTTACATATCTATAATTCTCCAGAAAAACTTGCACAGAATTGATGTGTAATAAATTTAAATATAACAGAATGATGGTAACTGAAACTCCTCAAATGTTAAGAATCCTACAGAAGGCAACACATTGACTTAAATTCACATTAAGATCACATCATCATCTACTTCCATTGCACTTGACAATTTAAAATCATTTTCACATGATTGCAGTTTCAGAAATTGGGGCCCTCAAAATAAATAATTTTCACAGTAAAAGGCTTGCCCCAAGTCACCAAAATATAAAATTACATAGCCAAAGTTTGATTCACCCAGATGTTTGGATTACAAATTAAAAATACTCTTTCCAAAATGCCACACTTTGTCAATTTCAGATCTTTTATTAGCTCTCATTGTGGCAGGAACAGGTTAGCAGGCACTTAACTCCCAAAAATGGACAGAAATTGAACCGTAAAGTTAAGAGGCAGCAAAGACGAGGTGTCAGAGTGTGTAATGAAAATGGCACAGGCTTCAAAAGCCAGGCCAACTTCATTTCCAACTTCATCACTTCGTGGCTTTGGAACCAGAAGCCAGTTACTTAACCTCTTGGAGCAACAGAACATGTAAAGCAGGAATAATAACCTCAGGATTATTCAGGATTATGTCAGTGCTAAGCACAGTGCATGATGTTCAGTAGGTCCTGAAAAATGGCAGGTACTAACACCACTCCCTCCTTTTGGTACTGACTGGAAGAAAGAGAGAGTAGATACAATCCTTGCTCCAGATCCAGTACCTTACAACTTTTAGAATTAGAAAGCTCAAAGTCCCATTCAAATTAAGTGCTATCACCCACAGGCACTGATAGCTACAGGGGAAGAACATTAACTTACTTCC